AGCGAAAAAAGATATCGTGGCATAAAAAACTTTGATAATCTTATGGTTCGTAATTATGCTTGTTAATAGAGTTTTTTTCCTACCCTGGAATTCTCCAAGTGATAAGAAACTAGTCCAATCGAAATGTTCAATAGTAAAATAATTATAATAAGTAAAACATCTTGCCCTCAAGCATACTAACAGTATTGACAAATTAGTAGCAAAAGAAAACAAAAAAAAAAGTACTGTCAATTCAAACAAAGTTGTAGCATTCCAATTTCATTGAATAAGAAAGTTTTAACGCCATAAAAACTCGCACTAGCAACACAGCTAACCTAATGTTTGTCTTGTGTTTTTATGTCTTAGTTGAAAACCAAAGTTCAACAGTACAGGATCATAATAATAATTAAAAAAATAATAATTTACCATGATGAAGCAAAACATGTGATTTGGCAGAACAAAAGAAACTGGAAAAGATGGAAAATCTCTTTTCAGAGATCAAAATGGTATAAACAAAATCCCTCTCTGAAAAATGGTATACAACAGTTTTATTTGACGAGACCTTCTGTATGACATTTTGAGTGAGTAAAAAATTTTGCTTACAAAAGAAGCTATAGAATCTATAGTGAGGTATGAATTTGAACATTCGCGAGAAGCCTTGTGATCTTGCTAAGAGTTTCACGAGCAGAAATGGTGTCGGGATGATCTTCCCCACAGATTGAAGTTCTAATGAAGATCGCCTTCCTTATAAGATCATCCGCTATGTCGAATTGTCCCCCTCTTAGCATTAGTTTGGCCCGAGTTTCCAACACTGTGGCTCTTGACAATGCTAGATCCTGCCATAGGCAAGGATTTAACTGAGCATTAGTTTGGATGGGCTTCCAACAAAGCGATTTATCCAGCCACTTCTCAACCGGGGCAACGAATGCTTGCTCCGCCGCTTCCAAGGCGTTGGTGCAGAGGCGCAAGAGTTCAAGAGCAGCGCTGCAACGAGAGAACATGATAAACGTCCTGATTGCAAGAGGCAAGACGACTTCCTTCACAAGGTGCAATAAATCTGAGACCTTGACCTCAACAACCACGGGGTCATGTCCAAATCCAAACAACAAGAAACATGCTGCCCAAATGTGCTCCGAGTGTTGAGGTATTGATCCGCGGCTAATGACAGCTTGAACCATAGCTTGTGGGACTCCAGTCACCGCTCTCTTCCGGGCGTAAAGTTTGACGAGCTCATTGATGTGTATGCAGCCTTGCTTGGTGCTGCTCCTTGCAATGTTGAACCTCAGCAGCATGGAAGACGCTTCTGCTTCTGATCTTTTGGTATACGATGAAGCAAGACCGCAGGTTAAAGAATGCAACAATCTTCTCCATAGGCGGTTTCTTCTGTGCTTTTCAGGGATTTTATGTGCAGCTTGGGCTAGGAGGGAAACCGGAATTGCAGCCGGTGCAAACCAAGCACTTGCCTGCACCATTCTGGTGGCCAATCTCCTTGGTCCATCTGCGTGATCTAATATTGAAAAACACACCTCGAAGAGCTGCAAAAGGAAAGTGTTTTTCCTCATTGAATGAGCATCTCTACCACTCCAAGAGAAGTCCTTCAAGGGCATTCTATTGGTGGTGTCCAATAATCTACTTGGAGTTATAGGGAGCTCCGACAATATTGCTCCCACGATCGCCAGCCCCAAAGTCGACCTGCCTACTTTCTCCTCGATGGCCCTTAGAGCATCAATTTCTGCAATTGAGTAGTCCTTCACACTTCCCTGCATTAGCGACATTGCCTCAACCCCAGATAAATACGAGAGTTTCAAAGGCTCCAAGTTTATCACGCGAGGAAGGCGCGTCGATATGATGATGTGTGTCTCTCCACCAAAACGGGGAAGAAGATCCATTACAAGTTTGTGATCCCACCAATCCTTTTCACTATCCAAGTTGTCGATGATAACCAGAAACGGTATGTTTCTCATAAGCTCTTTTCGGATTCTAGATATGGCAGACTCTTCCTGCTCTTCGAAGCTTCTAATCCTGCTTTTCTCTGAGCAATTCTCAAGCCCCACGTCAACCTCTAAAAATGACCAGAGATTCAAATAATTCTGCCTAATGTACCTGTTCTCACCTCCCACCCATAAGACCATCTTGTATCTCTGGTGATATCTGTAAGCAAATTCCAAAAGAAGTTCCGTCTTGCCAATTCCCGAGTCTCCAGACACACAAGCAATCCCTTTCCCGTACAAAATCTTTGCTGATCTTTTTCTCCTTGGGAACCTTCCACTGCTTTTTGCCCTTGGTTGCTGTGGTCTTTGAGGACCATCAGCACTTTGCATCTCAATCTCCTTTTCTGACTCTTTCCACACAACTGGCTCTTTCCCCTTCCTTCTGCTCTCAAGTTGCCGCTCCCTTCTCCTTTCCTCGAACGCACTGCCCTTACCCCACCCGATTGTCAAGTGTTTCCGCCTTGGTCTAGCCTTTAGCTCGAAATAGTCCCTCTCTGAATCTCCAGTAACATCACCAAAAAGTATGAATTCCAATTCAGATAGTTCCTTCTTCCTACCGATAAAATTCTCATTTCGAGGGAAAGGGAACTCCTCTTTCTCCACTTTCTCCCTCCATTTCGTCAACCGCTCCACAACACTTCTCCTCCCTAGTTTCATGGCTAACAATGTCACAGCCCTCAATATGCAATCTCTCCAATTACCTTCTTGAGCTTCGAACTTCCACTCGTCGACCCGAGAAAGACCATGAACAGCTTCTCTCCATTCCTTCTCTACTCCACCATACAGAACCCATAACTCCCCTCCATGTTTCTCCCACAACTCTCCTCTCTTCTCAACTATATCCCTTACCAGACAATCTCCAGGATTGAGATCGAAAAATATGGGAACCAAGTTCTTCTTGGCTGAAAAGAGTCGAAGCTCCTCGATGGTATATGGATTTCTGAAGGACTTGCTTGTGATGATTACAACCCCAAAACAAGAAACATCCATGGCCCTCTCAACAACTCCATGTTTATGAGAGTTCCTAAGTCGAGCTCGGTCTGATACAAAGCAACTCATCCCTTGAACTTCCAACTCCGCACGGAGCCAGTTAACGAACCTCAGCAAAGAAGGCTTTCGCCCATGCAGACCTATGAAGACATCACAGCTCCTCATTCTGTTGGAGGAAAGGGAAACAGGACCTGACAAAGACGACACTCCATAATATTTCCCATGTCTTTTTAGTCTCTCTCTGTACCCCGAATAACCATTCTCATGGGCATTGCTGTAACTAGATGCTGTGCTGTTCGAGATGCCGGTTGAAGAAGAAATCCGATCAAATTGCTGAAAGTTGCTAGAGACACAAGCAGCCAGAGCAGGCGACATGTCTGACAGCACATAACCGACGTTTGCTAAAGAATCAGGGTCTGGGATTCCGGAGATGGAACTGAGGGGATCTGCGCTTAAATGAATGCTGTCACAGTGAGCATCAGACCTTGTCGATTCGGATAACTGGCAGGATGGTGATCTTGGAGAGAAAAAAGGCGACTGGTTTGCTGAATAGAATGCTGAAGACGACGACGACATGTTCCTCAAAGTGGTGGCTGGAACCGAACAAAATCTGCGGCTATCTTCTCCCATATCCATCTTTTCCAAGAAAAAAAAATATACTTCCTTGATAGATCAAATCCTGTACATACAATTCCCAGGCAACAAGGAGCCACTCTGAAATGAAAAATACAGTTTAGTAAGTAACATAATTTAAAAAAAAAAAAAAAATCCATGAATAAAGATTTGAAATCAACTATTCATATGATTGCTTTTAATGGTGAATACTCCATAATAAATCAAAATAAACATGGAAGCAAAAGAATTGCATAATTCACAAACCTCTACAGTAAAAACAATGAAATAGTAGATAATTATGCCACAAAGGCACAAACAAACAAGGACAAGAACGATGTGCCCGTGGAAGATTCTCAAAACGCAAAAGACAAAAACTCTACAAGTGTATGACGTTAATAAAGGACTACAACATGATTCTCAAACAAAAAACAAAACCGGGGAAAAAAAAAGAAGAAAACAATGTAAAATCTAAATTCCAAGCCTAAAATTGGCACAAAAAAGTAATGGCAAACAATAGTTTCCACAGAGAACGAAACCGGTCATCTAAAGACAGAGAAATGGAGTTCATAAATCGACAAAAAAGAAATTCCAAAAATTATGAGAAAAAACATAAACGTAGAGGCATTATAGATCTAAAGGGTCTCTTCAATACAAATACTGATTCACAAAAGACCCCAAATTTCAAAACCAAAAATAAAAAAAAACATAATGGAATAGTATATAGTACAGAATATTTACTATACAATACCATTTTCTTGATAATTCAGATCTGAATACTTACCAGGCTTCAAATCTCAGACTTGGTGTCCAAATATCCACCTTTCAGGCTTCAAATCCAATAACCCAGCTCTTCAAATTGAATAAAAGTTCAAATTTTGGGCAACTAAAAATATGCAGAGTTGTATCTACAATCAGTGAAATGAAGTAAAAACAAACCTGTAGAAAACAAACACTTGTTACAAACACACAGAGGAAATATCTTTTAAGCAAAAAGGTCAAGCCTTTTGACCAGGAGAGAGAGAGACACACACACAGGTCTCAGACTCTCTCTTCTTATTAAGTGTCCAATTCAACTGAACCAAAAAAAAAAAAAAGAACATTTTGAGAAAAGGGTTGTTCAGATAATGTGAAAATTAAACCAGAAGGGAAAAAAAAAAGGCTTTACCTTTGTTCAAAAGAGAGGGAAAAAAAATCTATAAGAGAGGCTTTCAGATCCTCGAGCTCTTAATAATAAGCGCACACACAGACACTCCTTTCTTTTCTATGTCTTTCTCTCTCTCTCTATGTTGCTCTCTCTAACTAAAATAAAAATCCGAGCTTTCTCTCTCCGAAAGTCCCTATCTTTCTCACTCCAAAAGTCATAATATGTCTGAAAGAGAAACTGAGAATTTGGTCTGGAGGCGAAGGAACACCGTTGGAGAAGGACTGGAGAGAAGGAAAAAAAGAAGAAATGGGGCCCAAACAACGGATCTGACCAAAGTATGGTTGGTAGGCTCCACACACACACACACATATATATAGGCCACACCTTTTTTATATTGCAGTAAATTTCTCAGTTAAAGGCTCTGCTTTCGGCTTCTGGATTCACTTGCCACATTTTCATTAAACCCTTTTTGGATTTTGGATTTGGTCATGCCTATGTAACATAACAAATGTTTTTATTATTGTTTCTGTGGGTGTTTTTATTCTAAAACAAAACAACTTTGTCAAAACAAAAAAAAAAAAAAGAAACCCTTTTTTTCTCAAACAAAAAATTAGTTTTTATTCTAAAACAAAATAACCTTGTTCGAAAAAAAAAACCTTGTTTTTAGTTTTTTTTTTTTTTTTTTACCTCTTTCTCTAAAAAAAAAAAGGAGTCGTGCAAAAAATTATTTATTATTAAAAAAGATGTGAAAAAACCATTTAATAATTTTTCTTAGGGGAATTTTTTTTAAGAATCATATATTCATTATTATTTATATATGACTTATTTGTGCTTTCATGGGCAAAACAAAAATTACCCTTTTTTCTTGCAATGTATCTAATTATGTATTGTGATACATGACTCAAATCATATTTGGGGTATTGGCTTTCAAGCATTTTAAATACATACATTCACGTTTCGTGTTTAAAAAAAAAAGGACATTAATATTATTTCTCTCGGAATTATAAGTATGTAATTTCTACAAAAAACGTAACTTGTGTACTTAAGATTAGCCAATTGTCATTAAATTATGTTAAATGCATAATTTTCTAAAGCAGTTAGTAAAATTTTGGAGCAAATAGTAAAGGTTTAGTTGGTTAAGTTTTGTGCCACATAATTGTTCTTGTGATTAACAAAAAAAATACTTAATTAAGGCGACCGACTTTTCGTCATTTTGCCTACTTCGTGATTATTTCATGTTGCAATTAATTTTAGTACAGTGTTACAGTGAATAAATTACGTAATGTGCGAGATTATTTACATATTTAAAACTTGCGTTAACTTTTGTTACGTACGTAAAATTAGCCGCCTATAGATTCTACTTGCATTGAGGGCAAAGCTAGTTTAGGACTTCCCTAGAACCCAAGGGCTCTACGATTTTGCCCCTAACTAAAAAAGAATTATACAGTTTTTTCCTAGTTTTGTCTCTCTCCTGAATTTTTCTAAATTTGATGTTGAATTTAAAAAAATATATATTATACTCCGAGTTTTGATTTGTAGGTAATAGGTATACTTATATTTCAAGCTTAAAACTCGGAATAAAACCAAAAGCCAACTATAGAACTATATAAATTCATAATTTCTTAGACTACAAACTTTTCAAACATTAAAAACTAAATTAAACTTTTTTACAAACCTAGTTTATTTGGACAAAGAATAACAATTATTGAAAGAAGGTAACATTATATAGAGAAACAATTTTTTTTTTTTTTTAATACAATTGCAATGAAATTTGAGTTAAAAATTTTGGATTAATTCGTGTCTCTTAAAGAAAAAATTATGGCTCCGTCATTTCATACATCGTCCTAAATGATTAAGCAAATGGTAAAAGTTTCGTACCTCTTTTTTTTTTTTTTTTCAACATGAGTAAGTTGTGAGAATCATTTACCAAATCATAATCAAGTTGAATGATTAACCATCATTTAACTAACTTCATGAATGTTTTATATTTAAACTAATTTTAGTTCTGTGTTAATGCAGTTTATGAAATACGTAAACTTCTGCATAACTTACTAACGTAATTCTTTACTTGAATATATTATTACGTATGTAAGACTCATCCGCTATTAATATGCGTAGATTAATCTCCTTGTATGTTCTTGAATGAATAATTTTGTAAGGATAAATGGTGAAAAGTTCTCCCTCTCTCTCTCTCTCTCTCTCTCTCTCTCTCTCTCTCTCTCTCTTGTTGCTACATTCGTCTTATCATATGATTTACTAAATCATACTCAAGTTCAACTTTCGTCATTTAACAAAATATTCATCGATTGTTTCATGTCGAAATTACTTTGTTAGTTGTTAATATGTGCCAAATATTATTCATTGACAAACACAATTTTTTTTTGCTATTAGGTGACTTAACCGCTGCAAAATATACATCCAAATTCAAATATATTTTTTTTTCGTGAACCAAATTCATGTTTGTTTAGCGTTATATATATTCTTAGTGTGTCACATTAATATGACTAAGTAAAGTTCACCGGGAAAAAAAAAAAAAATTTATAACTAAGTAGTTTCTATATGATAATTTTTGTACAGGTGGTCAGCCGATAACATGCACCAAATATTCTTCTTTGACAAACAAAGAAAACTTTACTAATCATGAATGAATAATTGTTACGGAGATGGCAGAAATTCATCACATTTTTTATTCTAAAAAAATTATGATCAATTGCTTTATCCAAAAACAAAATTAATAAATAAAAAGAAAGTATTCACGAGAAGTAAAAAAAAAAAAAAAAAAAAAGTCACGTCGTTATCAATTACCAAGTATTTATGAAATGCATGGTTGCAAAGGCATCTCTTTATATATAATATATGCTTTAACCCAAGTATGTTTTGCTACAATATTTGAAATGCTTGGTTAAAAAAAAAGGAAAAAAAAAAAAGAAAGATTTTCGTAGTGCATTTTGTTAAAACTCTTGAGGACTGAGATATATATACACCGAATCTTATATATATATATATATGTATTTATGAAATGCATGGTTGCAAAGGCATCTCTTTATATATAATATATGCTTTAACCCAAGTATGTTTTGCTACAATATTTGAAATGCTTGGTTAAAAAAAAAGGAAAAAAAAAAAAGAAAGATTTTCGTAGTGCATTTTGTTAAAACTCTTGAGGACTGAGATATATATACACCGAATCTTATATATATATATATATATATATATATATATAGTGGCAATTGGTTTGACAATTGCTATGCAGTATGAAGTATGGCTTCTGTCTTTTCATTACTTTTACCTAATATTTATATATATGTGTGAATATCTATAAA